ATACTCGCTGTCTGTGTTAGTGCCAAGGGGAAAGGGGCTGCTGGGACCAGCACCAGCCTGTACTCACCAGCAGGGGGCGCTCGCTCATCTGCTTCACAAAGTCCTCTGAACCAGGAGTTTCAGCCTCACTGGTGCACTGAGCCAGCTGGGGCTGGGGAGGGAAAGACACGGTGTTAATGGTGGTGGGAATGGGTCATGGGACCTTCCCCTCTAGGGGGCACCAGCACCAATCCATCCCCAGGGCAGGGGACTGGCTGGCTCAGGGGGGTGGGGAAGGGGACACAGGACTTTTTCCCACTAGGAGGCGCTGGCTCCAATCCAGTCCCAGGGCAGGGAATATGCTGGCTCAGGGGCTGGGGCAGGGGTCTTTCCCCCCTAGGCAGCCTGTCCCAGCAGGGGGCACTGTAGGGCAGAGCAGGTGTCACTGGGCCCATCTCACACACACACAAGGGCAGGGAGAGGCAGGTACCTTGGAGGGGACGACCTCAGAGGCGTCCCACACCCGGACCCCACTCAGCTCCACAGGGAACTGGAACGTGACCGAGATGGGGACGCTTCGCTGCCGCAGGTTCTTGACCTGAAAGAAACACCCACCATAGGGCACTGCAGGAAGAGAACCCAGGAGCTCTGATCCCCAGCCCCCACTTTTAACCCTCAGACCCCACTCTCCTGGGGGATCTGGGAAATGACCCAGGAATCCTGGCTCCCTGCCCACCCCTACCCTTACCCCTCCATGCTCTAACCCACTAGATCCCATTCAACCACTTCCACTCCCTCTCTCTTGCCCATCACACTGTGCCGCCGGCCTCACCTCGTACCGATGTGTCACTGGCACACTTGTCCCTGCCTCCTTGGAGAAGTTGACGTACTTGGTCGACTCCTCAAGGCTGGGGGAGGAAAAGGATGGAAGGAACGAGAGAGACAGGAGTGTGATGGATGGGGCTGGAGAGTGGCGGTGGGGTGTCATGTCCAGAAGGGGGCGTTGTGCTACAGGGAAGGGCTCAGTAGGGGGCGCATTCCCCTTGCAGTCAGTGCAGGCACCTATGATCCTGTGCGGCGCTAGGGGGCACTGTGCTGCAGGGAACAGGGGGTCCAGCAGGGGGCGCTCTCCCCTCTGTCTCCGCAGTGACCTACCTGGTGAGGATGATGAAGATGCCGTACTTGACCGGCAGCTCCGCCCGGTGACTCATGCGCTCGGTGGTGGGGCCGCCATTGTCACTGCAGGGAGGGGAGGGCAAAGGAGAGAGATGTGAGGAGACTCAGGCAGGTAACTGTGCAGGAAGACTGCACTATAGGCCTGCTCTGCTCCATGCATGGCCCCCACCCCGCCCCCTGGCCCTGCACAGCCCCCTCACCTGCTGACGTTGGCTGTGATCTGCAGCCTGTCCCCCAGGTCGGCCTCAGAGGAGACGTCGAAGGTGGCGACGAAGACGGCCTGGAAAATACAGGTGGGGTGAGAGTCAGGGCCTGGGGAACTGCCAGAGACAGGGCAGGCACAGGGGATCAGGGGGACTGTTGTATGAACTTAGATGGAATAAATGGGCCTAGAGAGACGAAGGTGTTAACATGACCCTGTCCCTGCCCAACAGCATTAACTGGGTTTAGGGTTTGGGATTCACAGACCTTGGTTGGTTCCGTACCGTGGCAACACCCCATTCACCATCCTTTTATTACAGACACAGAAGAAATCAGCTAAGGCCTTTGCAATGTAACATGTTCAATGAGACTTTTATTCTTCCCCCTCCTCCCTGCCCTGCGCCTGTCGCTGGAGCGAGCCTTTTATCCCTCCCCCCCCACTGTCTGACCGATAACTGGACGCAATAACTGGCCGCTGGGGGAGAAGAGGAGGTTAGTGGAGGGGCTGGAGCTGGCCTGGGCGCTGTGGTTGAAGTCCAGCCCCGGTTCCCAGGGCACAACCCGGCAAAGGCCCCAGTGGGGAGAGCAAAGAGCAGCACAGAGAGAAAATGCAGCTTCTGCTGCGGCGGCTGCCTCTCGCTGGCAGCCTCCCCGCTGGAGAGACCCCGGATCAGCCACGCCGAGAGCTGGCAAGCGGTACCAGCCTCGGGCTGGCGCGGGAGCTGGATTTAGCCGCCGTCCTGGGCACAGGCTCATCACAGCAGCGAGCACAACACACAGGCTTGGCCGGCTCAGCCAGACGCTCCTTAGACAGAGGGGAGCAGTGGGAAGAGAAGAAATAAGGTGGGGAAGGGACGCAGCCCAATGGGCAGGGGTGGAGAGACAGTCTCCCATCCCCGGTGGTGTCTGGATCTCACTGGGGGCAGGGGCAGGTGGCATAGGCACCCACCGGCAGCACCCCTTGGCCCCGCCCCGCCCCACTGCTCCAGCTCACCTCCGCCTCCACCTCCTCCGCCAGGGCTCTGCTGCGTCCTGCTTCTCCCCCCTCCCAGTGCTTGCACTGTGACACAGCTGATTCGTGGGGCAGGGAGGGAGGGGGGAGGAGGGGGGAACACGGCACGCTGGGGGAAGAGATGGGGCTAGGGTGGGGATTTGGGGAAGGGATCTAATAGGGGGCAGGGAGGGGATGGAGTTAGGGCGGGGACTTTGGGGATGGGGTTGGAATGAGGGCAGGGCCAGGGGCGGGGATGGGGTGGAGTTGGGGCGGGGCTAGGGGCAGGGAAAGGGTGGGGGGTGCGCACCCACCACCGCCGAGAAAATTGGCGCCTATGGCAGGTGGGTCCCTCTCCCTGGGCCTGGCCCAGTCGGGTCAGGACACCTCTCAGGATCACGGTGACGAAGGCCCAATGGTGTCACGCTGGGTCCGAGGGGATGGGTGTGGGGGAAGCCATGACAATGATGCTGGCTCCTTCCCTTTCCCTTGTCTTTTACTGAGCCACGGCTCTGTTTGCACTGACTCGCCGGGCTCCCCGGGCGCTTTCCCCAGCACATCTCTTGTCATGGGCTGGGCTGACCTCAGGGAATTGCCCCTCTCTGCTCCCAGCTGGGCTCACCCCTGGGGAATTCACAGGCCAGGGCCCGTCCCTACCTCAGCCCCGCTCCAGAAGATGGGGTGGTTGATGTGGCAGGTGCTGGTCCTTTGAGTCTGCTCCTCGGAGCCCACGGCCGAGCTGCACTTAACAGCCATGGCTCTCCTGTTGGACTGACCATGAGAGACCAGCCAGTGAGAGATGCAGCCCACAGCACCCCCTGCCGAGCCCCCCGCCTGCTCCCTGCAGCACAGCGCCCCCTGCTGAGCCCCCTGCAGCACAGCGCCCCCTGCTGAGCCTGCCCGGTGTACACTGGGGTACCTGGAGCAGCAGGACCCGGCGGTAGGACAGCGCAGCCGGGTAGAAGAACTGCACCCTGGTACTGTAGGAATTCTCCCCACGGTTCTGGATGGAGACGGTGGTGTTGAGTTCAGGGGTGACCCCCACCACCAGGGTGCTCAAGCTAAGGAGGGGGAGAGAAAGGGGTGAGCTTCTGCAGGGCAGTGCGCTGGCCGGTCTGTGAACTACTTCTAGCAGTGTCCAGCCGGGGACCCCAGCCCTGAGAGCTTCCTATAACAGTGCCCAGCTGGGAACTCCACTGCTGTGAGCTTCCCATAACAGTGCACAGCCAGGGAACCCAGTGGTGAATCTTCCCCCCAGCAGGGTCCCCGACAGGATCCATCAGCAGTGGAAATCTGGCAAAATCTCCAGCTGGATGTTGAAGATCTGAGGCATGATCAAGCTGGACAGGTCCCACCATGGTAGGTGTTTGGGGGAGGAGGATTCAGTGACTTACCTAGAGAAATTGAAGGAGATTTCTAACTGGTCATCGCAGTGGCCATCTGTGCCACAGTCCTTCTGAAACGGGAGCTGCGGGGAGACCCAGGAGAGCAGGATCAGCGTGGGTAGGGAAGGGGCTGCAGCACCACCTGCTAGAGCGACAACGCAGGGACCCAGGGACCCTGCACCGGGGGACAGCTACACCCATCTGTGACATCCTGCATCTTTGGGGAGCACCGGGTAACCCCCATATTCCTCATGTATATATATAAATGTGATCTTGTATATAAAGCAGGCCGTGTGAGGTATCAGGGGAAAGGTTATGATCTGCTGAAAGTCATTTTTTTATCCATATATGTATGTATATTGTTAATGCATATGAAGTTTTAAAAATTGTGTTGTATGGTTGTTAGTAAAACATGCGGTAGGTTTGGAAAGCACCCAGATACTAGCTCTCCAAAGACAATGACAAGGGAGGTAACCAACACCCGGGTGGGTGCTGAACAGACATCACCAACCATTGTCAAGCAAGGGAGCTACAATGCAAGTGACTCACCTGCATAAGGCCTCACCAGGGGTATTTCTCCACCTTGTGACTCAACAATGCTCACCCAACATGCCTGGATTTGTGTTCTCCACGCACATGGGACTAAGGGTATAGAACAGAACACAGGGGCTTTCTGGGCCTTTCTCCTGCCCCCACCTACGCTGCAAGCAACAAGGACACTCAGAAGACTGAAGACTCCAACAGAGGGGACTGGTCCAGGTTTCAAGGGTGAAACCTGTGTACTATGAACTGCAATATCCAGTGGGGTGAGAAAAACTGCTTAATCTAGATGTTGCCCAGTCAAATAGAGTTGAGAGTATAGACTCCATGCTTATATTTTCTTTTCCTTTGGTAACTAACGCTGACATTTTGCCTATCACTTAAAGTCTATCTTTTGTAGTCAATTAATTTGTTTAGCTGTTTATCTTTACCAGTGAATTTGCCTGAAGTGTTTGGTAAATCTGCTCAGGTTACAAAGGCTGGGGTATGTCCACTTTCCATTGATGAAGTGGTGAACTAATTAATACAATTTCATTGCTCATCTTGAGCAGTGCGAGATGGTATATTCCTGAGGTGCAAGGCTGGGAGCTGGGGGGATTTGGCTGGTGCCTTTCTGTGTGTGTGATTCGTGAGTGGCTCTGGGAGTGTTCGTGCCATCTAGCTGGGTGTGGGGCTCCAGATGCAGTTGTGCTGAGTGATCACAGTGCCTGGAGGAGTTTGCTGCTTGTCACTAGCAAAATATTGAGAGAGACAGCCCAGGCTGGAGGGCTAAGTGGGCACAACAGTCCCAGGCTGCACCCCCAGAATACCGTCACACCATCATCAGCCCTGCACCTGCCCCCCCACATACAATCCCTCTTCCGCCTCCCCCTCTGGCAAGCAGCAGTATCACACTTCTAGTGGTGCCAGGGTAGGGGGACTGGTTGGCTCAGGGGGATGGGGAACAGGGCATGATGATTTCCCCCTCTAGGGGGCCCTGGCCAAAATAAAATTTGATTTTTGATGAACATTTTTCAATTTTTTTTTAAGACATGGATATTTTGGGAGTTTTGAGGAGAAGTTGGAATGTTCCCACGGATGAGAGATGGGTTCATCGCCAAGACAAACT